CCCCAGTCACTCCCAGTCCATCCCAATTCCAGCCCCAGTCACTCCCAGTCCATCCCAATTCCAGCCCCAGTTATTCCCAGTACACCCCAATTCCAGCCCGTTACTCCCAGTCCATCCCAGTTCCAGCCCCCCAGTCACTCCCAGTACATCCCAATTCCAGCCCGTTATTCCCAATACACCCCAATTCCAGCCCCAGTTACTCCCAGTACCTCCCAGTTCCAGCCCCCCAGTTACCCCCAGCACACCCCAGTTCCAGCCCCCCCAGGTGCCCCCACCTGCCCCGTCCCAGGACTGGGAATCAATCCCGGTGTCCATTCCCAAGGGCTGGAGCCCCTTCCCGAGCGATTAATTCCCTAATTAACGACCCTAATTAATGACTCTCATCAACCCCCCCAGGCCGCCCCCCCCTCCATCCCGGAGCAAAGGCCGCTCCCCTCCCGAATCCCTGCCCGACCCCTGCGGGATCTACGGCCTCTCAGGTAAAGCTTTCCCTCGGAATTCCGGGATTAAGGAACAGTCCCTTAGAGAGGAGCCTGGGAAAGGCTGGGATGGGGCTGGATTTTGGGAAAAACCACCTTCTCAAGCCTTCAGGAAAACCCTTCCTGGAGGATTCCTCCCTTCCTGAAGGATTTTTCCGCTTTTCCTGGGATTTCTTTCCTGGAATTTGGACGTCACCCTTGATGCCAAGCGTCCCCTTCCCTCCTGTTTTCCATGGATTGTGTGGTTTGGGAATTTGCAAAGGTTCCTCTCCCTCTTTTTTCCCAGCCATGGACGGAGTTCCCTTCGCCCTCCACCCCAAATTCGAGCCCAAGCTCAGCTCTGGCCCCGCTGTGAGTCTCCCTTGAGCCCTCATTTCATTAATTACCCCCTAATTAATAACCAATTACCCCTAATTAGCAATCAATACCCCTAATTAATAATCAACACAATAATTCCCCTCTTTTAATCCCATTAATTAACATCTCCCCCCCTTTTTTCAGCCGATTCTGGCCGACCTGACGGTGAAATCCCTCGCTGACATCGAGCAGGAGGTGACACCCCTGGAATTCTGGGAATACCGGGAATGCTGGGGGAGTGCTGGGAACATTCCCAAGGGTTCTCATTCCCGTTTTTTCCCGTGTTCCCAGTACAATTATGGATTTGTGGTGGAAAGGACGGCGGCGGCTCGGCTGCCCCCGGGCACCTGAGCCCTTCCAGGCGACATTCCAAAGGGAATTCCAGAGCCTTGGAGCTGCTCCAGGAGGAAATAAACCTGTTTCTCTGCCTATCCAAGGATTCCTGCCATGGATTGGGAACACAGGGCGGCACCTGGGGAGGGTTTATCCCGGACTTTTAGCCCCCAAATCACCTTTTCCGAGGTGTTCCCAGGATTTTGGGATGTCCTTTCCCACCTCACTCCGGGGCTGGTTTATTCCCAGGTTTTCCATGGAATTTTCCAGCCCCAAACACTTTTCAAAACACCCCGATCTGGGTTTTTAGTTCCCAAATTCCCCAAAGGTTTTTCCTGGAGATTTGAGGGTTTTCCTTTAAATTTGAGGGGTCTCCTTGAAAATTTGAGGATTTTTTCCATGAAAATTTAAGGTATTTCCTTGAAAATTTGTGGATTTTCCATGAAAATTCGAGGATTTTCCTTGAAAACTTCCCCCACATCCCTCCCCCTTCCCCGAAAAAATTTCCCGGCACATCCTGGAAAAAAAAACCACCTCAGAACTGCGGCCGTTTCCTTTCCCAGAGGTGGATTTGGGGGCGGAAAATCCCCGCCGGGAACGCCGGGAACGCTGGGGTTGGGATGGCAGGACACGGCTCCGGAGCCGGGAATTCCCCTCAGGAAGGCACTTGGAGCTTGGAGCTCCCCAGCAGGAACTGCAGGATCCGATCCACGGACAAGGCGAGCAGGAAGTCGGCCAGGAGGACCTGGGAGATCACCAGCTTGAACTGCGGGGACACAGCGGGATTTCGGGATTTGGGATGGGAAGGGACCCCAAAGCTCATCCCATCCCACCCCATTCCATGGGCAGACCCTTGGGATCCGTCCCTGCCCAGGGACTGGGATGAGCTTCCAGGTCCCTTCCCGCCCAAACCATTCCAGGATTTTTCACCCCCAAATCCCCCTTCC